TTCTAGCATGCTTTAAACGCAAGAGGTGTTACTGTACTGGTTCAGAACGCAGCGTTCTTCACGTCATTGGACCGCCACCAACCTGTCGATGCTCTTTAGGGTGACACTGGCCATGTCTGTCACTTGTTATTATGAAATACCATGCTCCAGATAAACTCCCACTCAGCTAACTGTTTGAGATCTTGTTGTCAGACTGTTGGCGATCTTCTTAAACATCGCCGTGTTATATGCAAACAGACTTTCTTAGGTAGTTTCTCTGGTAGGTCATTGGTGTATGCTATGAAAAAACAGGGACCTAGAACGAAACCCTAGGGGAACCTTGACTTAACACGGACAAAGGAGATTTTCAAACCGTCTACTACTTGTGCCTGGCATCGGTTGCTCAGGAAGCTACATATCCATGTATTTGTAGTGCATTGGATCCCATATCTCTGAAGTTTGTGTAAAAGCAAATGATTTACACCGTCAAATTTTTTTGAGAAATCCATCACCAGTATTTCAGTTTGTTTGCTGTTCACGAGATTTTTTATTAAGTCCTCTGCAAATTCAAGGAGCTGGGTCTCACATGATCTATTTACTAGGAAGTCATGTTAAATGGCATTGAGTATATTGTTGCTTTCAAGATGCTTCATGACGGTACTTAGTTTTATATATAAGTTTTGTTGGAAGCGCTTTAAAAACCTCTTAACAATATAACGTTATTATAATTAAAAAGTATGATTTTTTAGTTATGTTTTTTTTTATGTCTATGACCTATTTTTCTCATTCTTTTTATTTCATATGAAATGTTTAAATAAAATATATTTCAACAAATAAATTCTTAAACAGATCCTGAACAAAGCGATTCATACAAGGTCGACGTTGCACTTTTTGAGGCTCATAATTCACTTGTTTCGCAGTTTGAATCTCCAGTAAAAAACAATCATAGTATTATCTACGTGAATTTTCTATCAAGGCCAGTCATTTCGGGGATAGAACTGAAAATTATCCAAGGTTCTATATCCCTTTGCGATTTGCAAATCTTTGGAGGTAATCAGCAAGTGCATAATTTTTAAACTAAGAAGTTCGCATCTAATATATGTGTATATAGTTATATATAATTAAGAAATGGAAATAATATATATTACTATAACAAATCGTCAGATTGTCCACCCCCGAATTTCGGTGTCGACTGTGAGAACGTATGTCCGATGTCATGTTTAGACAGATCATGTAGCCAGGATGGAGCATGTCTTCAATGTTATGGAGGCAGGCAGGGCCAGTTTTGTACTGAAGGTATCAAGATATAAGGATTGGCAAATTGCCATGCGTCCTTGTTTCACAGAATAGCTTAGGTGTTACAGTAATATTCTGTTATTCTGTCTCGCTTTAAGTCACACTAATAAAATATAATATAATATTTTCATATCAACGTTATATAGTATCGCACATATAAACATCAGTTTCAAATTTGAAATATATTTATATATTGTGGAGAGTCTAGACCTAGTTAGGCGACCTGGGTAGTGCTGGGGTAAAGGGCTTAGACGGACATACTGGTAGTTGTAGGATCGGCAACCGAGCAGTGGACTGACCGGAAATTCAGACTTACTTGGACAGTCAGCGCTTAGTTCCTATGTCTTGAGCTTGAACATTATAGTAGCTAAATTAGAGAGCAAAAGCTGAACTTACACTATAGCAAAGGCCCACGTCAATGATATATATATTTGACTTACACTATAGCAAAGGCCCACGTCAATGATATATATATTTGTGTACTAAGGGATTTCTTGAAAACAATGATAGGATTTGTATATTTTAAGTGATAAAAATCAAATACCTAAATCCGTAAAATATTTATTTACGTATCTATAAATAATCTGTAGGATTTTCATAAGATTACTCTAAATAAGGTGAAAATATTTAGCCATCAATATGACTTTAAGAGTTAAACTATTTTAATACAATTGCATTACCTGATTTTTAATTTTTACGTAAGTGACTAAGGCGAGAAGATTTATATTGTACTGTCATTTCTGTAATAATGTATTAATTTGAACAAAATATAATTTGAAAATTATAGTAGCTTTCAACAAAAAAAAAATTATGTACTACAATTTTGAAGGAAAATGTTTTTTTACGAACGTTCACACAATCTAAACACAATGATAAAAGTGTATCTCAAAACTCAGGTAAATTGGAACGAATAATAATGTGGATACAACATTCATTAAAATGAAGCACATCGTAATTTTTACATTTTATAAATATCAGTGAAGTGAGAGGATAAGGGTTAATCACAATTTTATGAGGATAACAAAATATATTTTAAAAAAAACCTCAAATATTGCAATTATTTCGTCAAAATAGCTTTAATCATGAAATATTGACAGTGTGGGCAGCTTTTGTTTTTTTGGATCAGGATAAATGAGAACACACACTTATTTTATTGGCGTAAACATTTAATCTTGAACAAACACTAAAAAATAACGTTTTTTCCAAATTATTCATTTAAGTGTATTTTGGTTATATTAATATTCTAATTTCCAACCCACTTTTGCCCCGCTGATTTCTTACACCATCTATTTCAGCAAGTAAAGAAAAAATCTAACACACCAAACGTACTTGCGATACATATAATTTCTTTTAATTTTTTTTTTTTTGAAATCCCACTTTGCGTAATGATCTGAGATTTTGTTTCATGAAACACGTGGCATGCAATTCTCTAGGGCGTCCCTTTAAACAAAGGATAACCTTATTTGGGGGGGGGGCGGGGTTTTGATCGGGAGTCGGGGGTAGGTGTGGTTGGGCTGAACATTTGACAGATTCTTTTACCATCGTCGTCGTGTCTATATGTCAACTTTAAGCTCGATAGGTTATCGTGTAGTGGATCATGTAAAAGTCCGAACATTTGGCCTCTGACACACAAAAGCGAAGTTAATATAAAGGATATTAAAACATACATTTTTTTTTAATATCCCCAAAATTCATGGTAATAAACTAATAATATAATTTACTCTAAATATAAGTCACTTTTTAAAAAAAAAAATTTATTTTTCATTTTGCGAAAAATGCATTTGAGGGACATGGACATTTTGAGCGTATTGAGAAAATATATTTAAAAAAAAACAGAAGACATTAAGAAGTTAAACATGGATATTAGATTTTTTCTTTATTATTATAGGGATTATTGTGTTGTTATTTTTTTTTTTACTTTTCAGAAAACATAGTTCAGGAGGTTAGCTACATTTTTAAAATAAATATACTAATTTATTATAACCTATTTATATTCTCATCCTCATGTCCCTTAGTCCTTGGACACAGATGACATGAGAACCATCCTCATCCATTCCTCTCTGTCTGAAGCACTACGCACTGCATCGCCCAGTGCTAGTCCTGTCCACTCTTTGATGTTATCCTTCCACCTGTTTCTTTGTCTTCCTCTTCTTCTCCCTCCTCATGGGTTGACCTGCAATATTTCTTTGGCAAGCCCATGATTCTATTATTAGATATATATATATATAATATATATATTATATATTAGATATATTAAAATGGTATATTTGTATTTTTTAAAGTCAAGGCCATATCTTTAAATTTTTTAGAAAATATATCCTTTTTCTTGATAATTGCCGTAAAAAATTACCAATTTGATATAGAGAGGAAAAAAACTTTAAAAAAAACAATTATGTGAGAAACGTCAGTATCGATTTTCTATACATAGATTATTATTTAAAAACACTTTATCAGTAAATGTGTCCTAAATAAACATTGAAAAAGTATTATTATTTTTTTTTTTTAAGTTACACTGCAATACTACATGCAGCAACAGTGGTAAAAATTGTAATGTAATTTTTTTACTATTGGAAAATAGGGCAACAACCTCTCCATTTTTATACCGAGAATACTGTAAAATATAGTTTTTATGTAATAAAAAATAGGTAATGTCACAACGTAAAGATTCATTTAATTTTGGATGACATGCAATGATATAAATTATAACTACACCAAAAAATGTGCAAGTAGTGTTCAATAGACGCGTAATACAAAAGCCAAATTTCTAAATGGTTCCTTGAAAACACCAATACAGTAATGCCCCCGAAAACTTGCAAATTGCAATACTATGATTTAGAAGCCATCATGGATCGGAAAGATTGGCGAATCTCTTGTATCGTTCCCTAAACATGCAAATAAATGCTTTTCTTTCTAGATTTTTGGCCCCTTACACTAAGCACTTTAATTATGTCATCATTATTTTTTCAAAGAAAATAAACTTTGCGAATATGCATCGTATCACTACCGTCCTTTATATAAAGGATAACTTTTTCATAAGTATGAAACTTTTTATTGAGAAGAGTGATCTTCACTGATTGCGTGTATGCCTTTACCACACACCAATCACAAAGAAAAAAAAAACCTGAATAATCATCAACAAAGTTAATCTTACATATTTGACACAAAAAACATTGACTTCTTAAAATTTTACTTTAAAAATAAAAGGATTTTTCGAAATATTTGTGAATTTCGAAAAATCTGTGAGAGAATCGCGATTGCAATAATAAAGGTTTCAGTGAAAATTTCGCTAATCGGTGAATTTGCGAAATTCCACTGCAATCACTGTTTTGAGATTCATTATTTTCATTTTAATAATAATAATTTATAAACATTCTCCCTAAACTAAAAATGTCGAGAGGTCTCAATTGAAATTTTAAATAAATCATTTGTATATATTTCACGAAAATACATTAAAATGCAAAATAAAGAGAAATTGGACAACTTTACATGATTTAATACATATAAAAACCCAAGCATTTTCCAAAATGGATTTTTTTAAAAGTTTGTTAAATCATTAATGAAGAAACCAACCTATCAAAATCCGTTAATATTGAGGAAATTAAAAAGGAAAAATAATTTGAATTTTTTTTTTAAATTTGGAATTTATTATCTTAATTTTTTTTAAAGTGCATTTCTTTGTAGCCATCTTTCAATGTGTTCACTACGAATGACCAGGTAACACAGGATGTCCAAGTGGATACATGGGTCCAAAATGTGAGCAGCTGTGTCACTGCAATGGTGGTGCGTGCGATCAAAATGGTGAATGTAAACGCGGTGCGCAATGCAAGCCCGGGTGGTTTGGATTGGCTTGTCAGTACCGTAAGTTTTGTCAAATGTATTTATTAAAAATAATATATATTCTAATGTTTTTAATTTTAAACTTAAAAATTAAAAAATAATGATTATAGATTGTAAAATAAATTAAAATAGATTTATTCCTTTCAGCGATTTAAATATTATATTATTTCTCTTAAAATATATAAATCAAGTGCGTTCTACTCATAACATGAGTACAATTTTTAATGTATTTAGATGATGCTGCTTTCAATTCACGGGTACACAATCCACTCCTAGTTGATCAAGACGACAGCACCTGCTTTGCTCCGTCCAACAGATATGTGACAGTTTCACTAGATTATCCAATATTATTCACGTGGGCCAGGCTTTTGTTTCACGAGTCAGGTATTTGGGCATTTCGCTTTGTTTTCAATATTACAGTAGCTGTTTATAATGTATCATCCACCAAATGACTTGCAAGTCAATATAAATGTATACGGTTTGCTGAGCCGAGTATAAGTTCACATAAGCAGCTTTATCAGAGCATTGCACAACGATTATCCGACCACAGCAGAAGGTTACGAGAGCCTTCCAAAAGATTATCAGAACTCAGCAACAGATTATCAGAAGTCAGTAACAGATTGTCAGAAGTCAGCAACATATTATAAGGAAACTTAAGCAGATCATCAGGGCAGAGCAGCAGATGTCCAGACCCCAATATGCAGATTATGAGACAGATTTTCAGTCCACACTAGCAGATTATCAAGCAAACATCAAAACGAATATCATACCCTAGCAGCTAATTTTTAGACAACAGCAGCATATTTTCAGAATAAATAGCTGATTATATATAGGACCAGAGCCACAGAATATCAGAATCTAGTTTTAAAGATTGACAGTTTTCAGGTTTCAACGGAATCAGATAGTCCAAGAAACTTTCTGAGAAAACGTATAAAAAAGACCACTAAGAACATGTTTTTCGTAAACATCATTTATATACATGTGTTTGAACTAATGTAATTATACGTGATTTATCCTTGATGAGAAAGTACAAACTGATTTTTGGTTTGGGAATGGTTTTCATCAAGCTTAGTGTATGTAAAACCAAATGTACGAAATAAATATTTCAAAGACACATTTCTTGTGTTTATTGAAAGAAGCATCGTTGTTTGTTTTTTTTCCCAGCGTTTTTATTCAATTAGTAGTGAGACCAAAAACGAGGTTTGAAGAAGGGAGGGAGGGGTTTAGGAAATGAAGTGTTGCTGGGTGAAACTACCAACAAACAAAACAACACCAAAATCACATTTATGGAAAGGGAAAAACGCAAGTCAAAAAAAACCGCAAATTCGCGAAACAAACAAATGAAAAAAAAATAATCATGAAGAAGTTACTGTGTGGAGGGGAGTTGGGCTTTCCGATGTTTGGTGAGTTGGGTGTTGGGTTGTAATTTTAAAATAATTCATTGTCATTTGCATGGAGACTTTGTGCCAAGTTTGAGCTCTGTCGGAGAATGTGGAGTGGGTCAATACGCCTTTTGAAGTTTTTTTCCCCCATAAATAAGCACATAATCAAGAGGAAAGTTAAAAAGAATGATTTATATAAAATTGCTGGTTAGATCAGGCCTTTGGGCAACTCCTTCTTTTTTTGTGACGCAAGGTTGGTAACCGTAAATATAGCTAATGTGTTGTTGTTTTTTTGTGTTAACTTTTGTGTCACATAATAAAGTTTAGTTAACATTTTTAAATTTTAATTAACAGTAAATAAATATGTCTACTGTAGACTTTAAATTAAGAAGTATTTTCTTTGAGATACTGTAATAATATGTTGTTTTTTTTACCAATTCTACCATATAACATCGTATATTAAAAGGTATACCAATGTCTAAAAATATTTCCAATTTTCTAGCTAATGTGTTCCTAGAGTCCCCTAGCTTTGATGTGCTGAAAGAAGGTTTCATGGAAACTTTGACATGCAATAATTCACGGATGGCAGAAATAACTCCGTACATATTTGAGGTCTTTTCTAATAGTGACCATGTGGTCGAGGCAGTAACCTTCAAGTGGAAAGGGTCTGGGTATATATGTTCCTTATACATCAACGGAGGTAGGCAATACATGAAAATACCAAGTTATTTTCTTTGACTTTCCCATGCGTTTTAATTTAAATGAATGTGTTAGATTAAGGCTTAGTTGAATTGATATGTGTTTTAAGATCGACAATTAAAATTTAAAAAAAATGCATAAATAATATATATATATATATAAGTATAAAAAAACAAAACAATTAATACAAAAAAGTGACATTTGAAATCCAGTGTCCTCAATTATAATGCCATTGTGTCGTTACTTCATGACTAGGTAATACGATTGGGCGAAGCTCAATTATGAAAGTTCCAAGTTTGTGCCCCGTTGAATCATTTAATCATGTCCAGATGTTAATGGATGAAGATACCACTGGCCATCCTGGCAGTATTTTTAACAGCTCGATAAATTCTCTTCATGTTCTTTTGGAGAGTAATAAATTGATCACTGCAATAAATATCCATACAGGTAATAAGTCTGTCTTTGGTGTAAATGTCAATACCGGTAATAAATCTGTGACTAGACTAACTGTCCAGTACAAATAATAGATCTAGTACTTATGATAAAAACAACCAATATATATAAATATGTATATATATATTTCATTGAAAAAATTATAGTTAAACACATTAGCATTAATTATTATTTCTACACTTTTTCCCCTTACAAATCTGTGCACCCTTCTGCTCTAGCAATTTTGTAATTAATTTATGAGTGAAATACTTCAAAGATATTATCATCCATCGATATTAACTAATTAATTAAAATTATTATTTTTTAATAACAAAAAACATTTTTAAAATAATAATTTTCAAAAAAATAATTTTTGCAGGTCAAACATCCCTCAACAAATATCTATTTAATGTGAAATGTCTGGGTGCCGACAATAAAACGGTGTGCAGTTATGTTTCCAGCGGCATTGATGAAAAAGTGTTTACTATTTCAATAATGAAACAGAAGGTCACCAAGATAATTTTACAAGTTACTCAAGGATCAGTGGCGATAAGTAAATTGGAGGTATATGGAGGTAAACGCTCTCAGAACATCATGTGTAATGGATCAATGTATTTATTCATGCATTTCTTGGACAATTGTGCCACATTTCTTTTAAGTTGGTGTAGGATATTTAGTCAATACAAACGAAGAAATTAAATGTAAAATATTATCATGCTATGTCAAATTAAACAGCGTTGAAAATGTGGGTAGGATTAAAGCATAATGTTCACATTGGCTATTTTTTTGTTAAAAAATTCATAAAATTTCATTAGAGCTTACTAAATTAAATACTTTATATATTTTTTTCATAGATACGTATATTTTTTTTTCCTCGGCATATTTTGTCCACAAGTGACTCTCTAGCTACGGTTAGTCGTCTGCCATAAGTGATCTTCCTTTACGGCATCAGTCTGGCCAGCCCCCAGTGGCTGACAGAGTGTTTAATATGACGACTATTAAAAAAAAGCTCATTGTGCAGTTACTAAATGTGTCACTTCTATGAGGCTTGGAGGTTTTTAAAAAAAATTCTTTCGATTCACACCATCGTCCAAATTTATAGTCGGAAAATCCTAGTTAACTTTTTTTCCCCCATGTGACCCACTCGTAACTAGAGCCCTTACGTATACAGACGTTATCCCCACCATATTGTCCCCAAGGCCCCTCTTAACAGCCATTAAGTCACTTTCCTCGGACTTCTGTGGCCATTAGTATCATTAAAATAAAAATACAAATTTTAAAAAAATGTCTATTTTTTCCATGTTATTTTTTAATATTATAAAGAAAGTCTATACAGAAAACATTTTCAATATTTAATTTAAAAAAAACTAAGCATATTTCAGTTTACTCTGCATATCATTGGAATCATGTGGCTTCATACATTGCCTTAATATCCTTCTGCTCGGATTGTATTTGTTTAATGCAGTTTTTACTCATTAGTAAGCGATTTTCTACCTTTAAGTGTGTTTAAAATCGACTTATAAAGAAAATATTGATAACTTCTCCTTTTGTATATATGAAAAAAGAATAAATATGTTTATGTTTATGTTTGTTGCTGTAATTTATAATTCATTGAGCTTGTGGTACATGCAGAAAGCAAAGAAACAAACTAATTCTTGGTTGTAAATGTCCAGACTGCCCGCCGCCTTACTACGGATTAAACTGTGAGAACAAATGTAGCGCCACATGCGTGGGTGGAGCCTGCACTCACAACGGAACCTGTCACATGTGCAGTGGGCAAGACGTTGACCAGCATTGCTCAAGAGGTTAAGTCGTTAGACTACTTTAAGTATTTTACACACGGGTGCTCACAAACTCACGCTAACACACCCACACACCCCAAAGACTTCACCCCCACAAAACCACACACCAACCCACAAAACCAACTCACTTAATTAAGAACTCTATGGGATTCTAATATAATAATATAATTAACTAATGCAGGCAATCATTATCTTTCCAACTGAAATATATTTTTTTTATCCTGCGCTTTTAATGATATGACTTGTCTTTAACCTTTTTACAAACTTCGATCATTGAATCTGCAGGTTCGATTACAACCACTAAAAAGCCACCAAGAGGTCAGTGGCTATATCTTGCTTGCAAAGTTACTGCTTTATTGGAAGAGAAAACTAATAAGGATTTTATATTTTATTTTCTAGCATCATATATCATTTACAGAAAAATATATTTAAAAAAATTAAGTAAATAATTTTCAAGTTTGAACCGATGTTGATTTTTTTATTATATCTAATTTTAATTTACCATTCACATTAAGTATTTAAAAAAACAAAACAAAGAAAACAACTTAATTCATTTCTTTAGATTTAAAAATAACAGTTTGATTCCAGCTGTTTAATGCAACTCTCCCTCGCGCTATTGGTTTGACAAAATCATATATATGGAAATTATTATATCACCTTTTTCAAAAGCCTTAGACATATTGTTATTAATTTTTTTTTCCAAAAAAATGAAAAGCAAACACAAAAATATCATAAATTTATTATGCTGAAAAAAAAATAGATGTAACCAAGTTAAAAATTACAGACTCATAAAAAATTTTTTTTTTTTTTTTTTTTTGAAAGATAAAAAAAAAATTTTCAATTAAAAAACTAAATAAA